CACACACACACACACACACACACACACACACACACACACACACACACCGTTCATTCTCTTCCTTCTCTCCTTTCTTCCCTTAAGTGGATCCATTTGCTATCTTTAAAATATTGGGAACAAGATTACTGTGAGAGAAAATGAGCTCTGTAGGCCTCCAGTGGGATAGAAGAACCTGAAAAGGTACTGACTAACTCTCAAGGTCTACATCTTTCTCCTCTTCCCCCACCCCTACATCAGCCTCTCTTCTCCAGTGGTCCCTCCCTCTCACATAATTTCTGCCCTAAAAGAACCTTGTCTTCTTACTCCCCAAGTGCCCCCACTAGGCTGTGGCTGCTCCTAGTCCCTGTGGCTGACTGCTCAGGTTGAGGGAGGAGCCTTGATTCTAAACCAAGAACCTTGAACTTGGGGAGTTTCTGCCTTTTCATGATGCTCCTCTTCCTGTCCGTTTGGTTGCACAGAGATCAGGTCCCCTCTCTGGCTTCGTCTTTAAAGGACACTTGTGAAGACCTTCTGAAGGTTGTGCTGAGTGGGCTTGGTTCTACATCCAAGGCTCTGAACCAGTGACATTGGAAGTTACCATTAATGCCCGCTAGGGTCCTCATGGGATGTGAACTGCCTCGTTCAGGCTCAAGGGACATTTATTCTCCCAAGACTCTCCTACAGAGAAGCTCTGAGATTCCGTGGTTCCTCAGGGTTTGTCATACCCTGAGCTCAGTTAGACTATGCTCACACAGTTTGTTGTGGATGCTCCTTCAACGTTGGTTGACTTTTGGCTAAGCCCTGAATTTCGTTTTGCTTTCTCACTTTAACTTTTTGCCATGGCTGTAGTCTGAAGGGCTTTCTCTCTCCCAGGAGGTCTCTTTGTCCAGAATGTGTGGCCCTTTTCAGAGGCCCTGCACTTCACTGCACTGTGGAGGTGCATATCTCCCCAGGTGCCTTACCGGTAGCTTTCCTCATGGTCTCAAATAAAACCCATAGACTCGAAGATCCACATTTAACTTTCACCATTTGGACTTCTTGGCATCTGAGATCACAACTAACAGACAGCATAGTTTTTCCTAAAACTTGCCTCAGCCATGTGAGGAACCCCAACTTCCCACAACCTGCAGGCGAATTCCAACATGACCAACAAAACCAGAAACAAACCCAAACCAAGGAAAACCCATCCCATCTTGTGCTGAAAAATTCACAAAGCCTAAGACAGTGGATGGAGAGGTGCTGCATGGGATCTCATGAGTATGCACACTTGAGTGGAGAGATGGAGTGTGGGATGTCATGTGTGTGCACACTTGTGTTCAGAGGTGGTACATGGGATCTCATGTGTGTACATACTTGAGTGCAGAGATGATGCGTGGGATGTCATGTGTGTGCACACTTGAGTGGGGCAGTGGTGCATGGGGTGTTGTATGTTGTATGTGCTTGGGGCTACCCTGACTGCACAAGTATGCTTACAATATATGTGTCCCACCTTCAAGGCAGGTGGGGATTGTACTATTCAGAGCTCACCAGAGACAGAAGCAATAGTGTGTTTTTGTACAACCATGTGGATACCGAGGAATTCCTGTTGTATGATCACAGCCAAAGGCCACCAATGGCTAAAAATTCCAGTGAGAAATGGTGACACAGACTGGAGAGCAAAGGGATCCCAGAATCAGAATTCTGTCTTTGTAAGGGGACCTGAGTCTTGAATGCTGCCAACTGGCTAGACAAAGGCTATCTAGGTTGTGGAAGGCAATCTGCTTTGCTCAGAGAGTACTACATACATGGTAATGAAAAAGACCCTTACAGCTGCTTCTAGGTTGGTGGTTGACCAAACACCTGGGCATTGAAACAAAATTAACCTTCTTGAGACATTGGGTCTAACATGCCCCACAGAGGAGGTCCCTTCTGAGGTAGGTAGTTGAAAATAGTCCTAAAATAGCAGAGGAGCAACCAGGGCACCCAGCGAAGAGCCTGATGTGTGGTTCCCCACCTCTGTGCCAGCGGACCTGACATCTGTTAATCCCTTAGGGACATCTGAGGGAGCCACTGTGATGCTGGGATGGTGACCGTGTTTCCCAAACAAAACTCTGAGCCACATGGCTGACAAGCAGGAATGTATTTGTGGAAAGAGCAGAGCAAGACACTGAATCGTGACTGTGGTATGGCGGGGAGACGGACTGTCTTCCATCTCAGCTTGACTTTGAGTTCTGGCCATGCCTCTCTGGATGGCAAGAGGTGCCATCCGCTCTCTGCTTCCCTTCTGTAGGGTGCAGATCCTGGTGCAAGTGTGGGGCAGTGGCGGGGGTTGGGGGTAGGGTGGGAGAGGGTGGGATCTCCTGAGTTTCTCCAGCTGACACCTCCTAAGGACGTCCAGCCCGCTGCCCAGCCTTTGCCAAAGCATGCCACGCTGACTTAATCCCTCAGGAATGACATTTGTTTTGCGTTCTTTCTTTCCCCAAAGAAGCAAGGAGTAGACTGATAATGATAATAGTTAACACAACATTTGAACTTGCATTTTAATGTCTTTTACTGCAGAAAGGCACAAGTTGTGCTTTCAGCATCTGTGATCTTCAAGAAAGGCCTTTTAGCAGGTTTCAAAGAGCAGCTGCCCAACTGTTACAAGATCCCAATGGAATTTAGGGGTCTGGGGCCCTGGCTTCCTGCAGAGTATAGCCAGCTCTGCACCCACTGTGGCATTTCCGAATCCCAATAAGAGTCACCCTGTTCTGTGAGCCAGTCTTTGATGGGATCATGCCTGTGTTGGGTTTATTTGAGGCAGAAAGGACAGTCTGTGTGACCATCCTTGTGTTGGGAACATGTCATGGGTGACTGACAGGTCCACAATGACAGTGTAGATTGGCCACATCACTTTGTGAGAGCTGTACAGCTCTGTTTGTGGTGTGTGTG